TTTGTATCATGGTTTTAAAGTTATTTAAATAATAGGAAGCAGAGAGTGGTTATAAATGGTAAGACTTCTGAGTAGAGCTGATGTTCGCCAAGGGTCAATATTAGGCCATCATCTCTTTTAGATTTTTGGTATTAACGCTATAGTAAACTTATTTGCTGAGGACAATTCCCTTTATGTCGTTGTAGATACTCCGCCTCCGTGTGCTGATCTGTTAAATGATAGTGTTCGGAAAATTTATGACTGGTCTGTTGAATGGTTGGTCGAATTTAACCCTGAAAAAAAACTGAATCCCTTTTGATTAGCAGGAAAATCAATAAGCCCCATCACCTGACTTTGTTTAAGAATTACGTTTTTGTGAACGAGGTCAAACATCACAAACATATATGACTGTTTCTCTCTCATGATGGTACTTGGACAGAGTACATAACTATTGAAAAGCGATTAAGAAATTAGGTATTCTACGGAAATTGCGATTTAAAATAGACAGGAAATCTCTTCGGACCTGGTTCTTTTCTTTTTTCAGACCTCTACTTAAATATGGTGATATCGTCTGGAAAAAACCTTACTATCCAGCAGACTGACACTCTGGAAAACATTCAGCTTGAAGCTGCAAGAATTGTAACGGATGGTACCAAATCAACTATTCATGCTAAGCTGTATGAGGAAACTGGTTGGGATAGTATTCAATAATGCCGCAAAGAAAATAATTCCGATTCATCAAATGGTTTATGACTTTTTCCCCAAATACATTTCATAACCTCTTCCACAACACAGAAGTAACTCGGCCCAGTATATCACAAGTACAAAAATAATAATCTTAGTAATGTATTTTGCAAAACTAATTCATATAAAGGATCTTTTCTTTCCTCTGCTATTGCTTTGTGGAACTCACTATCCCCAGATATTACAAACCGTCTCTATGTAATCTGAAAAACTACCTACAAAGACATTCCCTCAGAGTACCCCCTTATTACTATAAGAAATGAATGCTTTGTAAACTTACCTGCTAACTACACTCTGTTCACTCTTCTTTTCCATTGATGAGAATGAAAGTATCTTCAGATGTGTCCAACATTTTATTAATAATACGCTTCTCGTACTAACAGTATTGTCACATGTTCCCAGTGAGTCACAGATAACGTTTATTTGTTTTCGGTTACGCTGTGTTTACAATTACTCCATTGATCATATGTGCTTCTAGTGTCATTGTATACAAATATATGTGTCACTCATGGTAATTGGTTATTCAATGATATGTCACACTTCATCATTGAAACACTTCAGTACGTGATTACATGCAAATACAACATATGTAGTATCACCCAGCATCGTGCACCCCCTCCCCCCTACCCAACACACACACCCTCTCTCTATCATAATGAAATATTGTCCCATTGTCATTACATATTATTATTAATATTTAACCAGCTCTGTTGTGTTGTCACCCGTTTGCCATTTTCTAAAGGAGACGGATTTAAATAAGTATTAAATTCTTTTTTCTGAATCCTTTTTGTCATGCTTGACAAATGAAATAAAATATGTTTAAAGTAAACCATCTGAATAAAACAAAACCACCATACTTGTTTTATATGTAGACTTGGTGAAAATGTTGCTTTATGAATCGGGCTAAGTGTATGGAGGGTTGTGCTGACATAATGTCTGGTATTAGTGGGCATAAAACATATTGTACTCCATCAAAAATATGCATCTTAATCGTTGTCCCTTAATGTCTGCGAGGACATCACAGCTTGGGTGTCCACAGTTACGGTGTTTATACTGTATGCGGTCTTGTGAGGTCCGGAAGATTAACGGTTTCAACATAGTTCCGAAATTATAACTGGGAATGACTTGTTACAAGTTTGATTTGTTTTTTTGTTTTTTTTTTGTTTTTGTTTTTGTTTTTTCTTTTGAAGCTGAAATTATTAACACTAAGAAAACTATGTAATAAAAAATGGAATCTTTTAAATAGTATGTATTGTGTCGGTGGTTTGATAATTTCAAAAGAAGTAATCACATCAGAATTATACCTGGCGCAAATCAAAAGATTTCATGCTGTTTTCATTCAGGTCTGGTGTGCCCCGTTATCTTCTTATGGTGATAAATCTATGGTAAATATAATTCCTAGAGAGAATCTGGAAAAAACACATTCAGTAGTGAGACGAAAGTCATGTTCACGTGTCTTCAGGTATCGCACGTGCATTAAATCATGGTTAGATTAACAACAAACGTGTCTAAAGCAGTATCATACTTTCAATTGTAAATTAGATTAACAAGAAGATAAAGAAGATTGAGTGTTTCAATTTTTATTCCCTCAACAAGTAACACAATGTAAATCTATCTTTTTTCAAAACAAATATAACTACATATGAAGTTCGTTATACACTAAATAATAATGTTGTATCCTCCTCTACGTCTACTATATATCACATGTCAGTATATAAAACTAAAAACAATTCTGTTTCTCAGTACTTCATCGTAAACATTATCACTTTTTTCCCACTGTTCTACAACAACTGTTTGAAGAGCTGTTCTCTTAAAGCCTCACATTTACATTGGTGTTTCTGATTTCGAGCTCACATATATGTTTCCCAGTCCAAACTACATCACTACTTTCAAATAGACACACATCACAAAAATATTAATAAGACTTGGCAAACACCTTCCTTACATATCCCATAACCCGACGCAGCTTGTTTATAAACGCCACGACTTTTCAACAGTTTTTTTCTATCTACTGAATACACGTGATTCTATAATTGAGGACATACACATACATGACTAGACATTAACAAATATCAGTGTCCCCTAAACCAATTACTATATTGTTTCTAAACATGTTTATATCGTTATCTTATATAAATGTTGATATTTCCTAAAATAATAAGCTGTATGAACAGCAAAGAAATAAACTCACCTGTTCTATGTTATAGATTCCTGTTTACATGTATAATCGAAATAGAAATTGTTTTTTGTTCGTAACTACGTTAATGGAAAGTATTTCTGAATATTTATCATAAATATGATAAAATCTTTTTTCAAAAAAAAAAAGAAAAAATTTTAACCGTCATAAAAGAATCTGATTGTCTACTTGTAATTTGTGATGTTTTACACGTGCATTTCTATCTACCGTTATAAGTGATTTTCAGGCTAATATGGCCTACTAGATGGTTAAACACCTTGGATGGCTTATAAGCCGCAATCCTCTCAGTATATCAACTTTACCCTTTATTAATAACGTTGATTAAGTGTGCCGAAGAACATGTCTTTCAATTGAGTTTTATAAACTTTAAAGTTTCGAAATTTAGATTTTCTGATTTTCTTATCTTAAATATTTACGAAGGTGCGTAATGGAATCAATCAGAATTATGAAATAATGAGATCATAGTTGTTTTACCTTAAAAACCTCAACAGAACGGTTTATATATGTTCAACTGAATTTATAACGTTATAACAAGTTTTATAAATCTATACAGTACAACTAGAAATCTATCATTTGCAAACAACAGTAACTTCTAGATCATGTTTAATTTAACAAATTTCATTGTAATTGCGGATGAAGATCTTCATTGAAAACAAAACTGTCTGGAACTTAATTTGTCGTAGAAAAGAAGTTCTTATAACACAACCAGTATTTTGTTATCTTTGCTATATTGACATTTCCGTACCGGATATCCAGGTAGGAATTACTACAGAAAATCCTAGATCATATCATCCCCTTAGAGATACTACTGACTAACTACTAACAATACCTACTGACTAAAGTTCTGCTAAGTAGATGTCGCTAACATTTCTTTGGTAATAACATTTTGATATTGATTGCAATACATATTGTCATACCTATATTTATACATGTATATTTGGACACTTGTTGATATGGTTGACACGGGATTGTATTAACTGGTGTAGATAAGAAATAGCAGCAACCCACTCAATCATCATGCACTATGTGGATACGCTAACTACTGCACATCATAATTGAAGGCCAAAGCAGAACATCAACAGCATCATTTCTGTATTTTTTTTACAGCTTCTCAACTTTGCTTTTTAACATTTTAGGGAGCGCATCAGTGATGTTTATAGTTGTTACGGTCTGTCGTCTCTCAAAAGATTAAGGAACAAAAATGTGTCAAAATGGAAACCAGAAAAGATCAAAGCTTGCTATCTTCTTGTTTTCATCTTCGTGTTTGAATCCATGTTATCATGAACGGATGGTATTCTGGCTCATGCGAAGTATTGAAAAAGCCAATATCATTGTACAAAAATGACCTTATTTTCCTACACTAGAATGTGTTAATATCTTCTTATAGCACCTATTGACAAAGCTGTTGTTTTAGGATTATTGTCGTTTCACTTTTCAATGCTGCACACAATTCTGACATTATTTAAAATATTACATATCCGTCATGAACGCTACATTTGGAACAACCACAAAGGGATGAATTATATAAGGTTACAACACTGGCTGGCTGTCAAATATATAACTTGAATGTTCGGTTCATCCCCTATACTCGTTGTATGCTTCACTTTCATTTGACTTAACATTATATAAATACATTATGTACAGAGATGGCGTCATCTTATAGAAACTGTGAAATGTGATTATTCTCTGCTAGCTTGAACATTTTACTGTTGCACTTAAAGATCCTTTTTTTTTATTAAAGATTACTTCTTCATGGAATTACTAATGATTGATGGCGGTAGGATTTTTTCGTAAATACTTAATAAATGATTGAAATATCAGTCCAGCCAAACCTAATCATTCCGTTCAATTTATTTCAACTAATCTGACTTAATTGTTTACCTTTCTTATATTTCGTGAACTTGCTCCTCGGTTTCAAGTAAAATCAGTTAAAGTCATTAAGCCTTCAGAAATATTAATTGTAACCAATACAGTGTTTCCAGACATCAATAATATATCTACTATGCTTTAATTTTTCAAACAGAAATGAAAATGGAAAAATTGCTTCTAAAGGATTCGGGGGTTCTCCTTGTTATTGAAATCAATTACTTGATCCATTTTGTGGAGTGTCTTGATTTGTGTTTTGCGCACGTTTTTGGCGCACAAGTTTTGATCTCCTCGGACTTCCGTTTTTGCTATCTGACCTTGAAAGGTCGCCATTACGTCGCTCGATACTGTTACTCCTTGAACAGGTTTTCACGGCCGGCTCCTCGGTAACCTTCACCAAGAGTTCGTGCATTTGTAGGAAACTGCTCTCAAGCGTGTATGCAAAATAGTCTGAAGTGGTTTCATTACAGCTTTTAAAAGATGTCACGCATACAACAATATTGTCTGGGTGAGGATTATAACAAACACCATATCCGTCCGGAACTACAGGTCCGTAACACATCATGGCGTCCATTGTCGTCGGTACCTAAACACAAACACCAACTATAACCTATCTAACAGAAATATTTCACAGCAGGATTTTTTATGAAAAAAAACTATAATTTGTAAATAACTTAAGATACAGGCTTGCCTTGTATGTCTGTGATTCATATTGGCAAAAAGAGATTTTCATTTAATTTTCGTTTAGTAAATATGAAATTTTAACAGAGATGATATTCTGCTGTGCTGTTGGAGGTGAGGTGATGTGTAATGAAACCTCAGTTTTGATGTTTCTGATCAATTCATAATTACAAAACGCCGACAAACTATTGATTTTATACTCGAAATAATTTCTCAAAATTTTCTTTTTTATTTACTTGTACCAAAACAGAATTTATGAATTTCAGCTAAACGGAGCATCATTATATGCCGTGCCTAATGATTATATTCAAATATTCTTTTATGATTTGCACTTAAATCCTCTCTAACTAAAGTGTTTTTTTCAGGCCGATGTTTAATTGATAGCTATAGTTCACGCAAGCGACTGACGAGCACGGAGTAGATTGCCGCAGTTTCTTCCTGGAAATCTTCGGTCTTTCCGATGTGTAGAAGTAAAACACTTTGATGATAATTTATATTTGATTATCGAAACAGGAAGGAAATGCATTTGTTTTCGAATCTAAATACAATAAGACTGTCGCACTGCATTGATTTACACTATCTGCACAAATCTTTAACCGCTTTTACGCAAGAAAATGCATAACTCCTGATTGAAAATATTGATAGATAATTACGAAAGCACTAACGAGTCGCTGAAATAGATTTTCAGCTCTTTATAGCGATAGTCGATATCAAAAGGGACCGCTAAAATATCGAAGTGTGTTTTATAAACTAAACTCCCTCAATCTGATCTTAGCAGTCGGACATGTTTAAACGTCATAGAAACGCAACAGCGAATGTACATTAGTGAAATTGGCGTTCAACGTAACGTAAAAATCAGCTTAATCACTCATCACTTACCAAAATACTTTAACTGGCAATTAAAAAGTTTTAAGTGTCATTTAAATATGACTGACGTTATTGAAACCAATACAAAATTGGAGATAGGGTCTGGTGAAGGTCAAATAACAACAGATGCCATGGAAACATTATAACGTCATCCAGTTAGTCTATTTAGTACCTCCGATCTTACTGTGATATCGTCAGAACTCACCTGACTGGTCGATAAGGAGAAATGGTTGGATGTCTGAAAAATCTCGTCCTTTAGAATAGTCGGAACGTCCCGCCCAGTTTCTAGCGCAATTTCCTTAAGACCAAGAAGGTGTATGTCTACACCATGTCCGAGAATAGTCTGTAACACCAAAAAGCTATATGTTAAATGTACACGGCAGACATTTCTCAATATAGACAGTGATCCAGTGTATACAATAGTTTTAAACAAACAGTACGCATGTACTGGTTCACCTCTCATCTGAAGGAAAGTCCTTTAAATCAAAACTATACACAAGCCATATTACGTGAAGAACATCTTTTCAATACAAATTTAGAATAAGATAAAGAAGAGCAATATAATGAACTGTACTGCAGTAAAATGTGAAACACAGGAGGCGACTAAGGAAAATCAAAATCGATCGAAACAAAATGACAAAATCGAGATTGGGATGGCGTTGTACATTACATGATTTAATAATCGTAATTTTTAGGCTGAATTCTGAACCTTGCTTCTATGTAGATGAATTAAATCATTATATGCAAGTTATGGTAAACCCTTTGAACTAAACTTCCATAAACAGTGTCTACCATCTGCACTTGATGTGAATAGTCAGTACAGATTAAGATTTAGATATATAGAAGTTTACCTGTGTCATGGTCTCTGTCTGCCATTCCATAGCCTTCCTTAGAAGCCGTATTATCTCAGAGTCCTGTAAAGTATATCTTCTAGTGAGACAAATCGTACAAAAAACTGTTTGGTTAAAACAATTACTCATACGTGTTTGTTCTACACGAAAACAGAAATACTTTCAATCTTACTTGTCTGTTTCAAAATAACAATTCCATATTACGGTTCTGCAATTTTGCTTTTGCGTTTAAAATCTATTTTAAAATTTGAAAGTAAAGTAACAAAGTTCTTTATACATACGGGCACTTCTGTTTCTCCCACCATGGCCTTTACCCAGTCCAAAGCCTGAGGCGAGTTAGCCCGGATGTTATCAACTCTTCCAAGCCGAAATCTCCGTGTGGAAGCACTCTCGTATGTGGACACCAGGCGATGGTGGACCCTGTGGTTGGGAGAATAATTCAACTGAAACAAGCTCATCTCATCAGAAAATCGCTATAGATAGACTTTCCCCCCGATACTCACAAAAAGACAGAAAAATGTCTACTTAAAGAACCTAACAAGACATTTTTGAAAGAAAGCCTGAGGGTAGCCGACTGGAGGGAAAGCCCCGGAAGCTCCTAGACATCATGATATATTACAATATTACACAAGCCGTATAAAAACCTGAAATCTACACGTGCATCCTCAGGATTTCTTATTAAAGAGTTTCAGTGACAAGGACAATGCCATGGAACCAAACCTACTACAATCACTAAAAGCTTTGTTCTGTTTCAGACAGGATTTATAACAGTAATATACCGTGCCATATATCATATATATTACTACCGGTATGATGTTACATTCTATAACAACCCCTTTCGCACTGAATCAAAATCAATATTTTGAATGTGTTATATATCCAATAAAGTATTAAGGAAATCATCTTACTTTCAAAATTCTGGCAACCCGTGAAGATATAATATCACTCAAAATGTCCTGTCATTTGATTGATTGTTATTCGTTTGTAGGGAATGCATAGGAATGTGTATCTTAGATAAATACTAGCTCGTTCGGTTTAATGCAAAACTTGAAAGCCAGTGGTTCCAAGATCGTTATAACCAGAAGCACTATAAATGAACTTGGTCACATATTATTTGCTGTAATTTCTCCTCATGTATTTTCTCAGAATATGCAAATGACATAAGCAAGTAACTTGATACACTTCCTTATCTGAAAAAAAAGTTACGAGGTGATGAAGTGAGGATCCCGATGTGAATTCATGTCATGGAAGTATTATCGATCTTTAAGATGAAAAGAAACCTGTAGATTTTGACAACTTGTGAGAAAAGTGACTCAAAGATATTAAAAGCAAAACGTTGTATTAACTTAAAAATATACATTAATTCTACTCTAACTAAAATATCAGCTAAAGAAATAAAGAAGTGTAATAATTCTAGCACTCGTTTGGTAAATCATTCGCTGCCCAATATGATAAAAAAATGTTAAATGCCCATGTTAAAATACAGGCGATCTTGGGAGTGAATTCATATCCAGGATACTTTTGTAGTAGGTGATGATCATACTTATAATAGGTCAGTTGTAGGGCTAGCTGGATGAAGGAATCGGGGCTCATGTTCTGAGATTTCGGAAAGTCTCTTCCAAACTTCTCGAAACGAAGGACAAAAAGATCCAAGTCATCAATCTGTCTGCAATAGACAACAACTAGTAAATAAAATTTATCATGACCATGAAAACAAAGAAAATAATAAAAACGTCGACGGGATACTCATTGAAACTTAAGTTCAATGAAACTAGGGCAAAACATGAACAAAATAAAGAGTTGTCATAAAACCATGTAGGATACAATGATAAAAACGTTAATGTTCCGGAAGGGTAAGCGTGTTTTGCTTCATCGCGGACCCACGCACAGTTAAAACTTTGAAGTCAAAGGTGAATATATATATCGTGTTGCTCTATAATTGATTGCCAGTTGCTTTGGTTGGCTCTTAATATCGACTTAATATTCTTACTTGAGTAGAAATCTGTATGAACCTGTTTATCCATTAATATTGGAGAATGACATCTGATAGAATGAAGAATTCGTATCGTTCCACACTTTGACTCTAATGTTTTCTTATTATGTTCCCAAACAGTTTGAAAACTGCATTGCTGAGCACTGCATAATGATTCAGATGAAATACTGAGGGAGGTCATGATAAACAAATGCCTGATATTTTTCAATATCATTAAATTCATAATACATATAGTTGTGATGTTAAATGAATGATGATAGTAACGCTAATACCTCCAGGTCAATAATAAGGATAAACAAATTAAAGACCACAAAAAGGACGCTTACATATAAAGTAGATAAAGTTATAAACATTTATATCGCGGCCTACGGGTTATTTATTGAGAATTTTTTATCTATTAACATTTGAATGTCATGTGATGATGTGATACTGACCTATTAATATGAGCTGAAGCTTCTTCCATCCGCTGGTGCACTTCTTCGGAAACTTTCCAGTTAAGTTTCCGGGGGTAAGGGATCTCACAAATCGACTGCATCCTTGTAAGTTTCTGCACCCGAACTTCCTCCCTGATGTAGAGTTATAGGAAAACACGATTGTCTCAATGCTTTCGAATTAAATTTTAATTAACGATGAAAATCATTAGACATTTGAATTACAAAAAAAAACCATGATCAAATAATACAGAATATGCTTTCCAATCTAACCACATAAAGAGACAATAAATTGTAAAGTTTTGAAAACAATTGAAAAGACACTCTATTCCTTTTCTTTTCTTTAGATTGTGTAGTATTTTATAAAATGAAAAACTATACTTCATCTTAGGTAAAATTTACCAATAAAATGACTGGTCAAATGGCAAATACTTTTTAAAATCATTTGATATACATAGGTACTTTGAATGTTAATTTTGGCTTAAGAGTGCGTGAAATGAGTCTTATCTAATGCAAATCTGTGTCTTCACATTGCCAGTCCATACAAAAAGAAAATGCGTAAAAATGGAATAGGAATGACGATTAAATAGGAATGTACATATTACGTCAGAAGCAGATTTTTGAGTTGTCTCATTTTGATTGTGTACATCATAAATTGGTTTAACGTATTAGTTATAATATGTCACTTAACCTAGTTGTTCAATATACTAGGTCATTGCGGTACGGTCGATTTCGTGTCACAGTTTTATTGTCTCTGCCTACAGGGTAACTTACAACATAGAAATTATAGATAGAACCGCGAAATCGTAAAAAAACTGTTACGGGAAATAAAGCGAAGTAAACGTATTTCCGTTCAAGCAATCATCCAAACTATCTCAAGTGATTTCTTGTAGATGAAACGAAAAGAAAAGTGGCATCCCAAACTTATGAGAAGCACTGTTCAGTAAGAAAGCAACTTACATATAGCGTAATAGATGTTCTATCAACTGAACAACAGCGATACCCTCTGATGGCGAATGTTCATAGCACAAACCACAGGCACCATCTTGGGAGATGATGAATTGCATAGTTTTATCATACCAGCGGTTAGCCCCGTTTTGTTGTGTTCCAAAGCCGTGGAGCATTTGGTACAACAGAGACACTTCGTCCCGGATGTTGAGATTTGTCTCGTCTATACTGTTTTGGTGGTTGAAAGAGATGGGTATAGAACTGTCCAGACACAATATAAAAATACTCCTCTCGATGGCGTCCAATGAATCACGATTTGTAGAGTCTAAGGAGAACAAACGAGAACAGCATGTTTATACATGCCAAGAGGTATAAAAACAAGAGCAATTATTTTATTTACATTGAAATTGAAATTTCCACAGTACAACAAATTTAATAATCAAAATAACAACATGACTGTCACGTTTATTGTTCGCAGTAAACACTTGATAATGTTAGCTTAATGGCGGCTTTTTGACAAGCGTTTGGGAGAATTAGAATCTGATACCTTGCATGAGCTTGATTCTGGCGTCACCCCACTTATCTCTGTAGGCTGCAGTAAGTATCCCAACAGGCTCAGCGTCAGTCACTTCCTCCGCCATCTTGTAAATTCGGTCCAGTTGTGTGAGCAGGTCGTCTTCACTTAGACGGGTAAAGTTAATGACGACATCCAAGACGAAAAACTGATGATATAAACATAGTAAGCAATGATAATGCGATGTGATATCATCTTTGACCATGTATTTAGCTTCTCATAACAATTACTCTTATAATGTAACTAAAATAGTTCGAAGTATATAATATGAAATCTTGCAGGACGATTCAGAAAAAAATATCTGTGAGCTTTTGTATTCCTTATTAACGGATTAATTTGTTCAACCATCGAAGAAGTCTGGTATTTATTTCTGAATGATCTGATTGAAGATTGATGTAATTGTCTGGTTACACAACCTTTTTTTTGTGAATTAATTTGTACTCCATATCTGCTCAATCTATGCCGATCTGTGCCAGGCACATGTATTTGTATTTGGTACTATGCTTTATTCTGAAGTCAGTAGTGATTGCATCTTTGAAAGAGGAAAATGCTCTTAACGTTTTGTAATTTTGATTTTTAATAAATTATCAATTATATTTTGAAGAAATATTTCTTTCGTGATCTGAATTTTAATGACAATCCCATCGAATAGATTCATGCCTTAACGTAGGCGTGCTATTTTAGTGATCAGTGCAAATATACAGCTGCCTATCCTTGCGTATCAGACAGTTATATGTCGACGGCGGGAAGCCTTAACCCTTCTCATTAGTCGGTGATTGCAAGTCATAGCCTTCGGGAAAAGGCTGCGAATTTGTAATTATCAGAATAAATCTTTAATCAAGCGTCAAAAAGAAAAAAAGTCGTTCATAAGGCGCGGTAATCTTTCTAATCGACAACACAAATCCGTTCCATCGATCGCTAAGAGATGTTGGTGTGTGCCGTAATATGATAGAGGTCCCGCTCGTGAACACCTAATGGACTAATCCCTATTTAGGACACGTGTAAGCTAATCAACTTGATTGAGCCAGTCTATTGTAACAAGGAAACAATTAGAAAACATTCGTCGCTATTTAGGTAATTTATAACGAGGAGTTTCCATTTTCTTGCTATTGTGGAGAGAAGTGAAGCGAACATTGATGTCCTGACATCTAACAGGTACTGTCACGAGTTCAGCTGCTTGTGAATATTGACAACGGAAACAGCTTTGGACTATCAAGATCAAATGTGATGTACATACATGCTTATTTGAACGTCAGAACAAAGTGTATGTCAAGCATGAATATTTGGTACAAAGTAAAGGTTAGGTGGACGCTTACAAAATACATGCAGTAACAGCATATAGAAAGAGTCATTATCTATGTCCACATAAGGCCTTGTTTGTATCGTCAAGCGATAAATTCATTAGGTAAAAAAGAAGTTAAGGTCATAATGATGCCTTAAGTGATACATTTATCATTTAAGCCCTATTTGATGCCGTGGTTAGTAGGGTCTCGGGGTAGGTTGAGTGATATGTTTGAACAGTTTTTTTTTTACTCAAAAAGATCTGTGCTCATTTTAAGGGCTTTTATTTTTAGTTGAAACTTTAACGTTTTAATGAGTTGCTCTTTGATCCGAGCTGCGGATGCTCATTACCTGGTTTTTGCATATGACAATGATATGTTCCGGTTCCGGCATGAGTTTGCTGGTATTGGAGATAAGACAGTCCTTGTTGACGCCGGGAACTCGGTACGACGTAAACAAACGGTAGTATTGCTCCATGCATAACGGCTGACCTTTCACCTTGTGTCGGGCTCTATCTATGGGCAAACCTTTCCTGCAAATGATCGTTGTGAAAAGATGATAAAGCATGCATATGTATAATATGTTATTTAAAATTTAACATGTGTTTGAATGAATATAGAATAACATATCTAAACAACTAGAGATAATGCCAAACTTCTTACAAATTGCTGAGAAATTCCTCACTCCGAACAAGTAGCTTTTTTTATCGAGGAGTGATTCAAAAGAGAACATTTTCTCATAAATTCGATCAGTTCATCTCTTCCATCCTTCAAAACATCACACTCGTCCACTTTGTGAATCTGACGCATCTTCTAGCGATGTCATATTAAAAATGTAGTGCTTTTTTATCGGATTTTTAATCACTAACATGATGTACAAAACTTATTGTTTAAAAACCCTATTCCTATAATACACACACACACAAAAAGAACAAGAAAGAAAAAAAAAAACAAAACAAAACAAAAACAAAAAAGATATAAAGAAAATCCGATAGATTACGTATAAAGACAAATTGTAAAAGAATTCTAACCTATATACTTTAGGATAATTAAATAGTGAATCGACTGAGAATGGTTGTTCAAACATCTTTATTAGTTGTTAGTAAAGATGAGGCTGTAAGCCATTCCTGGATATTTCCTAAATAAGAACGTAAATAACAGATGGTTTCACTGCTTTCCTGGGATATATATTACTTTTACCGACTTATTATTTCTTGAGCAGATACATGTGTATTTAATGGAACATTTCAATGGCTATCAAGACATATTTGGTACAGAATGCTTGGAAAATCAAATATCATCATTTCTTTCTCATTGTTTACAGTTATTCTTCAGTTGCTGCTTAGGAAGAACGACTTAGTAAGAGTGTTTTTTTTTTCTAATAAACAATTCGCTACTTACAAAGTTAAAATCCCTTTTTGATACAACCTTATGTAACGTACTCTCGCGACATAAGAAGCTGAAATAAAAGTTCAAGGGCACATTGTGGTAGATTTGTAGAAACAATTTAAATTCAAGGTGAAACAAAATGTAAAAGCCGTAATGAGACCAGATAATGTATTAGTTTGATGATTACTAGACTGGAAGTGTATGTCCAACTCCACTGTGGTTTGTTTGGAAATCATTAATAAAGATTGCACCAAACATAGGCAATCTTTAATTATACTTCACGTTTATACACACATTCATTAACGTTTCATTTGTTTTTATTTTTACTTAAGAGAAAATCGATGTGTATGAAAATACCAGTAAAGGAAATGATCTTGTTTTCTATAGCGTTCACCTAATACCAGTATGTGAGTAATGCAGAGATTCGTTGTTCTCATGGTCGTCGGTTCTTTATTTTCTGAAAACGCACCGTGTTAACGTTCCATGTGTACAGTTTCTTTAAATTTACGAAAAAAGTCTTTTAAAATAATGTGGAAGAGAGTTTGACACTATCATGTCAATTTTTTATTTTTAGGAACATTCAAACAACGAGATTGATTCATTTGCATCTTAATGGTCATGGTTTCATGTCTTCATATACATCTTTTATAAGTAATAACTGATTATAATTGACAAGTCGGCCTTCAATATGAAAATGACGACAAAGTCATCAAAATTGACATTTTATGTCATATCTTTAACAGATAGTTAGATTGTAACCTCTCGGCATGAGCCTTGAGATTTCTTTATGAAAAGGTTTTACATGAAGAGAGAAAACCTATAATAATAACACAACGGCACATGATGAAGGCGATTGCCACATGCAACTCCAGCAACTTTCCCTCGGTGCCATAGATTTGAAAAAAAATGTGGTTCTTTCATTGAGGAGAAGGATGTCACTACATGACATGTGCAGTGTAGTTAAGAAGCAGTGGTTTATCCGGCAATGATTTCCTAGTTTAATACTCACGCGTCAATTATTGTCTTGTAGTCAAGTATTCCGGAAATAAGCCTCGTTGCATATCTGAAAAAAATATTACAACAAAATGCCAATAAATTAGTATTAAAGTCAGCCCTATCATATACTACCATGGTGTTCGGTAGATAGAAAAAACATACCCTATTATCAGAATCATCAGATAAATCCAAAAAGAGATGAGGTACTTTTATGCAACTATGAGACCAATTATTGTTTACTTAAAACGCTTGCTTTTAATGTTGTTTTCCTTTTATTACTAATCGTTGTCCTCCTATATGACGTGTTCAGCGCGAAGAGGGGGATTCATCGCCTACTCGGACCCCATGTACATTATATTTATGACTGTGTAAACAATTACGCATGTCCCATCACGAGGATTGCTGGTGTCGAAAATTATCATTACACCCGTTATGAGGCACATTGTGTCCCATGTCGATATCTAAACGACCTTTCTTAATAACCCCGATGAGCATGACACGTGACCATTATGTCTCCCGCGCGCAGGAATCACAGGAATCCTGACAGCCTGTCAAAGTGACAAGTAGACCGCGCAACGGATCTTGGACAATTCTAATAACGTTATTGGAGAGACTTGTTTCAGATTCGCGGCTAGTTAGTTGTCTTGGTGGCGCTGTCAACGGCGGGCAGAAGGGTTCCTACATAACCGTAGCCTGAAACGTTCCGCTCTACTCCCTAAAGGGGTATAAACGGGTCACATTCCAGGCATCTAATGAGACAGCTAAATGAAGACTACGCTATTATCAGCTAATGGCTGAGATTGGAGATGGTTAGCAGTGTTTTACATTTCAGTGTTGGTTTATACTCCCCCATGAGATTCCAGAACTTTAGCCCTATATTTCTGACTATGATTTGGGCTATCAACCATGTTTTATGTTTGCATTAAAAACCATGCTTCTTGGGCATACATTTGAAAACAACAACTTGAATGAGCTTGCCTTAAATGCAAATGTGATTTTCGTATAATCTTCTGTCTTGTGTTCATGATAAATCAGCAAAGTATTAGAATTTTCAAGGACACACGTTAATCACAAAAAAGGCAAGCTATTTATCTCTGAGCGTGATCTAGCTGGCTGATTACCACAACTATCCAACCACCCACCTACCCGTTATGGAGGACCCGTGATATTATGAGATAAGCTCAAATGATATTGATACATTTGTATTTGAATTGTACATGTATTCATAGTAACACATCACTGTCACAGAGTATAAAATTGTAGCATGGAATGTAGAAAGGGACTATCAGTGGTAAGTGTGTTTTTAAGAGTTGTCTTTCTTCTATTATACCATACCGCTTCCCAGAGGGACTTTAGCTCATTAGTTCCTAAACAGATATCCAAAGAGATAACTGTGTGTTTTGTCCTTGGAGAAAGTTTTGAATGCTTAAAATGTTACCAAAATGATGATAAATATTTCAACTCCGTAACCATTTAGCTGAAGAAAAGCCCGGCCTTATTGATATTTCTCTGTAAAAGGCATGCGGTTTTTGAGTTATAGCCGAGGGTACAGAAATGGGATGCCAATAAAATACCGTGCATCATTTCTGTCTATGTTATACATTTACCGGAGTTGCTCCCTGCGGTCAATGAAGTGTTGTTTCGGAAAGATCATTCCGGGGTTGGAGTTGATGGGTAGAGGAAGTCTGTTCTTCATGTACATGTCATCCAGCCACCAGTTATACGCCTGAAACGGAAATCAGATTAGAGGAGAGAGATAGACAGGAAGTGTGCTTACAGAACAGTAGTTTTAAAGCAGAGAGAGAGAGGGGGGGAAAATAAGGGCATAAGGAGCGTGTGTGCAGAAAAAATGTCTGAAAGTAAAGAGAGAGAGAGAGAAACACCGAATGTATCATTGAACAGCTTTATTTTCAGCAATGAGTTAAAAAAAACAAAGCTTGAAAATAAGAACATGTGGAACATGTTTTGAATTATCTCAATGGAGATTTAAAAAAGAAAGAACAGAGAACATCAGCACATGGAAGAGCGAGAAAAAATAAAGGAATGGAACAGGAATAGAATTAATGTAAAGCAGTTACTGCAGATAAAGTTGGTAAAGGCAGAATTAAAAAACCATGCATCAATAAGCCTGATTGAATGTGCATGTGGCCAACAGATGAAAGCGTAAATACACGGTATTACATAAAGCAAACCTTAATCTTTGAAGTTGATATGAAAGATGACCTCATATTTGTCCAAACAAATTAGGAACAGCAATAAATCAACCATACCATTGTTTGACGCGTCAGCATAGCTTCTTGGGTTCCCAAAGAACTTATGTCATAAACTTCCTTATTACAAAACAATCAACAACAGAACTATAGAAACCAAGTTTATTGTCACTGCAGACATTTGGTCTCATACCATAGAGTAATATAATCAGGTGAATCCCGCGCTGGCTGATTTGACATAAAAGACATGGCTTGAGCACGTTATCCAGGATTATGGACAGTTGATTTCTAATCGTCTATCCTCGTGTCATCTTGCTTCAGGCAGGGAGGGGAGGGGGACTTCACTTCATTATGGGCATCATTGAGATCGTCGGGATTGGGCTGAGATAACAGGGCAAGCAGCGTTTTAGAAAAAGAAAGATGAATGTGATTGTCGCTACAGCCGTAAGACATGGGTCTTAAGATCAGACCAGTTTCCTGCTAGCTGGTTTGTCGGGTTCATTTTTCCTATTGTGAATGGTGCATCTGGCCGTTTACATTGTATCAGCTTGGCTTCCTGTGATGCTGTTTGCCCATCAAACATAACAAGATCAACACACAAACTTGCTTACTCTTTCAATGGACTTTATTTCTCTTTTCGTATGACTATTGATTAAGTATGTCACATGCGTCCTTGAGGCTCTCCCGGTATTCATGTTTGAATGTATACGTCATTAAAAGATGCTGTCAAATGTGACGAATCGCTATCAATAAATCACATCACATATATGGCTTCATGGCTTCATGTGCTATGTTTGTAAAAAAAACATTCCTAACTACAAGATGGCGGTGTCCATATTGCATAGTTCTTCGGCATTGGAACCAACACAAAAACTGTTCCAATAATATATACATAATTCAAGAATATTTCATTTTTACTTGTTGAAACTCTTTTTGGCATTGTTGTTGTTGCTGCTGTATATTCATCGGCCTGTATTTGTGTTTTTAAAGTGTTGATATAGTCTAGCAATTTCGCCTGTCAGAGCGCAAAAAATGTATCTTTGCTGTAACAAATCCTATGTTAGGGAAATGACACTTTACATACCATAAAAATACTATTTAAATCTATATTGTAAATCACCCAAGAAAAAAGCCATGTCTATGAATGATAATTGGACCTATTGGGGCGAGAAACCAATTATCATCGAAGCATTCCTTTGAAGACGATGAAACAAGCACATATATAGTTATTGATTGTTGTTTGACTTGGATAGCTATCTTTGAACGCTATATCTCTGATATTTATTTCACGCGCTGACAATCGCGCGTGCGTGTTCGTTTCGTTATTTGTCATAAAACCATCGATAATGATCGATCGCCCGAATGTCTTTAACTCTGGCAGAAAAATCCAATTGTGACTCTTGAGATTTCCGCATAGTTCACTATCGAAAAGAAACTGGTCAAACTAATTAATTTTCTGAACTGACGTATTGGACTCTGACTAAGAAGTCGTCAATAAAAGAAAAGTTCTGTGTGACAAAGTGAATGTCCACAAATACGCCCATCCTATCCATAATTTGACAGACAAATACATCTATAGTCAACTTGGCTGTATTCATTACCATCACGTCTCAGTACAACCATATTCACAACGGTGGCTGTAATGAATCGTTACATTGTTATTGTTTTTTTCATTTATTCATGTGAATTAGCCGTTCACTGATCCAGTGGAATGTGTGCTTTTGACTCAACTCTGCCTTTCAGTGGAAAAGTTGACTGTGTGTTTTTGAATGATTGTGTGCTTTGGACTCAACTCTGCCATTCACTGGTACATTGGACTGTGTTTTTAACTCAACTATGCCGTTGACTGGTGCAGTTGAACGTGTGCTTATGAAATCAGAATGAATAAGCTGTATTTGGAAAAAGCAAAACAACTACGGAGTCAAGTATACCAATTTCAATAACTCCAAGATGGCTACACACCGTAGTAAACGGTGTAATCCCAGATAATTTTGTAGCGTATCCCAAACATTTTTACTTGCGATCTGAGTACCGAACGAGTGAAAGAAGGGTCCGTTAATGCATCATTCAACATCAAAATAGTCTTCGCTATGCTCTGATTATGATTTTCATTTTAAATGTCAATGTGCTATTTCACACACTCATTTGACCATGAATTACATTATGCGAGATCAGCAGTTGCAGTTTCAATCTCATAATTTTATTGTGGTCTGGTTTTACGTAACGGAAGTGGCTTACACATACATTTTACTTCATGTAATTTACAATCTATCTTTGGTTGCGCAGATGCACTTGTGTATTATGTTATAAGGAGAAAGTTAATTAGATTCTATTTCGAAACCTAGTAATAGTTTGATATACATGACAATTAACTCAAGCTAAGACGACATGGGGCAATTTCTGATTTTCCAAGTAAGACCAAAGTTTCTAGAATAATTTTCCTAAGAGTGCATACGTGATCTATGTGAAGTAAGACATTATGATAGGTCACGTACTGGGTGAGTTCGTATATCCTTGTTACTCGTCGGACTATATTATGTATTGAAGAAACAAATATGACAACAAATAGTTGAAGAATGGTTGGCTTTGTTACGTTTACGTTACGTTAACATTTTCACCATATTTTTGACATGCCAAAAAGTGAAAACAATTGTCCTTTTTTGGGCAGCGGGTCTATAACAAAAATCTTGTGAAGAAATTTGACAAGACACATTCTCATAAACTAGAAATAACAGACTCATGTGCAAATGCTTACTAAGAACTTTAGCAGAATGATAAGAGTATCGAATACGATTTTCGACTGATGGATGCTCTTTCCTTGTTAGAAAAAAAACATTTACCTTCCAACGATATTTACCTGTCTTCAAATAATTCAATTTGTAGCGGCTTGTTGAGAATATCACGTTTTCTTTACCTGAACTTGCTTATTGAAGGATGAACTTACAACATATGGTTTGGAGAGATAACGATTTCTTTGAGATCTCTGTACGATACCACAGTAAACATTTTGAGAACTAAATACGATACTCAAATTCACATTGTTCGTGTCACTGACAAAACAAAAGAACTTAATACCTTTTGGACACGTAATACCTGTTTTCCCTTCAAATGTAATACAATGAATGATTACTTTTTTTTCAATTTTCCACTTATTAAATGAATTGAGCCAAAATATCGATGTATTTGTATTTTGTTTAATCCATGATCAACGGTACATTATTAAAGATATATTATATTAAAGTGAGATATATTTTTTAATAAAAATATCAAAACACATTTCTACACCCTATAAATGATATATGTGATATTCTTCAGTACATCCAATCAAAAACCTTTATCTTGTAGAAAACAGATGATGGCATTTCATAAATGATGTAGAAAAGAAGGGAAAAAAAAGAACAGCAAACTAATTGGTAAAGCTAAAGAACTGAAAACAATACTATTGATACTCAAACACTCAACTCTTCTAGGCGCCTTGGTTATAAACTTCAGATCATCAATAAAATGTCTACCATGTTGTAGCGGCGGATTTCACAGACTAAAATACCGATTCCGAAGACACGTTTACTAAGATCGTGCTAGATGTCATCAATACCACTTAGAACCATCAGCACCACCACGCCATATTTTATCTTTAATGATAAGAATAGATTTTAGACTATTGGATGGATCCCACATTGTATGGCGGTAGGGACTGATGGATAGACGCTAAGCGATGGGCCTGGTCTAGCTGGCGTGATGTATTGCTGCTTTGGGTGACTCTCTAAAGTTTCCCTTCCATCTCTCAACAGTTAATTACAGATACGTTACATGGACTGGTACAAGTTACAGAGAATTTACATCCAATAAGCCCATCTCCAATGACACTAGTCCAACACAAAACAAAGTTGCCTTCCCTTAATTGCTTGCTTGAAAGGCTTTGTGCTCGGAAAGAGGGCGATCACATAGCAGCGAATTACCCAACTTGTCTACTGCTGTTTTTGATTATAGAAAATCTTGTCCAAATAAAAGTATTCTTTAATCACAACTCCCCAATAAAGGCCAGTACGACTCAGTCCGCCCGGTTTATTGGCCCCACACTCTTGTGGCTTGCCAATGCGATTTTCCATTAACGAGATACATAAATGGACAAAAACGTGTAATTCAAGATGTTTGCTTTCGGAAAGCTTATCGACTAGCAAATTTTTGTACATCTTTGACTTCAACAATGTGCACTTTATTACGATGACGTGTAAGTGAACGAATTACATGTATCGACCTCGTGAAGCACATATTACATATCTCCTTATTTGGAAACTCACTGATGTCTTGGTTGCAGCTAGACATAAAATTGACGCATGTGTTAGGATGATAGAGAAAACACGCATTGGTAGAATTGGTATTCAACTTAACACACCAAAAATTGTATAACGCAAAGGAGAAAAGCGGCATTAACAAGCACTAATATCATTGATAAAATAATCCTTAGTGTGCGAGTCTTTTATCTTTATTGTAAGCTTTTTGTATGTAAGAATATAGTTTTGTTTTCCATTTCTTTATTCTATATTCAGTTAGCAAGTGCATGCTAGTATATATATAATGGTAGGCTAACCACTGAAATCTTATCCAGATAATTCCGTTGCTTCCATAACATTGCTGGCTACTTTATTGAAACAATGTATTATTCAATTATTATTTCTTTGAAAAGGATACTTTTCCCCGTAGAGGTAAAAAATAACTACATTTTGAAATTCTATGTACCTACCCAGTTCTCTTTGGATTCGGCATATAATTTCAGTTGTTCCTGCAGGATCTCGCCATCATCTCCGGGGTCACAAAACTCCTTGATGAGGGCCTTGGTTTTAAGGTACTGTTGGGTGGACACAATTGGGCGAATGATGGTCAGATACTTCTGTAAGGTGCTGTGGAGCTCTGGCACCGGTAACTTTGGCAGCGGCTTCTGAAGATAAAAATAAAAGTACCGCAGGACATAATTTGGTGATCCACGTTTCCTTTCTAAATCGGAGTAACTTTGATGACATATAAGTATACATTAAGTACATAACATTACCTAATTAATTCCTTACTTCATTGAACGTTCAAGTACACCGAAATGCGTTGTATTAAAGTGCTTATCTAGGGATATGAAAAAAATCGGAACATGACTTCAGATTTTTTTTATTAAGAATTGCAAGCAACAAAATATCATTGGTTGTGCACACTTGCCCATTAAATTCAAGTTAATTGTGTACCGGTTCAGAATATTCACATGACTGAAGTGCTTATGATAGTACAAAAGACATTAAGGTGAATAGCACCTTTTCATACAAATTTAAACTTAGATACCGTAGAGCTAAACAATGAGTTAAACTGTGTCATATCGCTGTTTCGTCGTTCCTAGACTCGTCAGTGATAATGAATTTTGAAGTTTAGGAGATGTGATATGAAAGAATATGGTCTTTAGCAGCAACATTGCCCTCCCCCTTCTTCCCCCACTGCGCGGTAAAGAACTTTTTTCAAACGCAAGTGAATGGAGGTAAATATGGCCAAATCAAAGGAGAAATAAACGGTTGACGAGATCCTACAAATGATCAGGTTTTTAGTCGACAACATCTTTCAACACACTATTGGCATACATGTTGGAACTAATGGTGTTCCTCTGTTGGCTGACTTGCTTTTTTTTCATTTCATACGAAGCTACTTTTAAAAGCAGGTCACAAAGACTTTGCAAAGTCCTGCCATTTCACTTCAAGATATCTTGACTTTAAATAACAATATATATACTAATCACGACACGTGTATAAATCAACCAGAATTGGAACTCAAGGATACGACAGACCCTTCTGCATCAACCGCTAAAATTTTCCTACAACGAAACCTACATTGACAGACCTCCACTAAGCTGAATGATAAGCGGGATGATTTTAATTTTCTTATTATGAATTACCCATTTCTCGATAACAGTATTCCTGCATTCTCAACCTATGGTGATCATATCTAGCAGTTCAGTCGATATTCGTTGTCGACAGCTGACAACTCATAACACAGGTTTTCTAGGGATGCAGGTTGATGAAAATTATGGGGAAACACTACGGTCGCCATAGTGATCTCATTAGGAAATATTCTGTTTCTTACTGCGATATGAAGCTTGACGCGTTTGATGCACGTTGGTTTGTCTATTGATTCCGTTGTTGTATGCCTTGTTCTAATTTCGGAACGTGACATTATTTATTTGATTGGCCAAAATTTGCATGGCTTGTGCCTCTAATGAAGCAAAACATTTGGTCTATGTCTTATTCGCCTCGAATTCTTTCGGGAATCGTCGCGTAAATTCTTCCTTTGTTCATATTTTGCCCTAGTCTAATTGAATTTGAATTTAGAGAATGATTCTGTTCATGTTCGTATTATCTTGCTGGTTTATTAGTTGAACGGAGCTACTCTCTGTGTGAATTTTTGTGTCATATTCCATAATTGCTTTTACTTCAGCAAATCGTTAGATTTTTAACATTGGTGTTTAATCTATGGTTTCGACTCCGAATGCAACCTGAAACCGTGTAAACAATCACATTTGACCCGGCCATGATCCTTCCTTGTACCCATACGCCGTATAAAAGTCGGCATATGCGTGGAAACATCTTCTCCGTTTCCTAGCTTCAGATCTGTTTTATATCGACATTTAATACCATAAAGCTATATTTCTGTACTGATCAACATAACGTTAAAACTAATCTCGTATAGGTCAAGTCTTGGTCAACAGTCGATGGTTCTACATGACAAGGCGTGTGTTGTATCTACATTACACAACTTGCAGACTTGGCACTTTTTACATTCCGGTGTGGATTCGCTTTACAGTTATAAGTTTTATTTACGTCAAATAATATCATTTATCTAATAACTGTGACTCCTATGACGTTGTTCTTAACACATACGTTAAACTACCATTTTAAAATGTTGTACATGCGAAAATTTGCTTGATGTCAAATTACAATAAACTTATCTATATGACCTTTTCCTTTGCGGAGATAACTCAAGCTGTCAGCATTTCCAAAAAGACTATTGGCAAATGCCCATCTTCAAGGATTTGTTCCCAATATCACGATTTCCTTGTCTGATGTCGACAACTGAGCGTTATGTTCGTAACACAGATTTTAGAGAGATGCAGATTGATGAAGATGATGTGGAAATTTCACTGTCGTTACATTGATCTCGCTGGAAAACATTTCCCTAGTGCGATATGAATATGTGCGTTTTTGATGCTCGTTAGTTTGTAGAATTGGATCTACCAATATTTACATGGCGGGTGCCGTCGGTGATGCAAAAGAGGTTCACCCGTCCCTCCAGCACAGCTCCCTGTGTCATCTCTGTGTACCTTTTCCCTGGACTAATCTTTCTTTTGTCCTTTTTTTTACCGTTGTTTCATCAAATTCGCGTTTTAATTGAATATGTCTGTATTTTCTTTTATGTGCTTACGACGTCGTTATGTATAAATGGGTAAACACATTACCTCAAGGAACGTATTCTTACACGTTAATTTTTGCTGACACCGAAGGGTTTTATCGGAGATACGATGGTTGCTTTAAGAAATTTTGAAAACAAGAACATGAAAATATATCATTGTCAAAACTCTAAAACGCTTGAGACATTTTCAAAAGAATTAATACCTACTATATTGCCTTTAACTCGCAGAATATATTTGCGAGCTCAAATTTTTACGGTTTTGCAAAAAGCGTTTAAGCAAAACGGATTTTTTTTTACGACAGTCATTAAATGAAGAAAAACTTTCTCCATTGATTTCACATTCAACGTGTCTCTGTTTCGAAATTTTATATCATCCTTCTCGGAAACGGTGAAAATCAGAAACACCCTAGATAAAGACATAACAGTAGCAAAACAGGAACTACTTTTGTACAGTTTGTTTGTTTGGTATAATCCTTGTCCTTATCCATAATTAAAGAAATGATGATCAACTGACACTCGACTACATCTTTACGGTGACATTATAATTAATCGGAAATCAGCATGAACTAAAAAGGGGTTTAATGACATTAAATTGCATCAAAGTTAATCTCTCCTTATGTTGCATCGCGCACAGAATAATGGATTTCATTTAAAATTAATCAAAATTTAGAATCGCTCTTTCTACCATATGATTAATTATTAGCATCTAATATTTCAAGATGAAATATGTGACAGAAATTAATCAATCATGATGTGGCGTAGTGAAAAAAATCATTGAAGAGCTGCGGAATGAAAATTCTGTACTTTATGTTGTAATGTTATAATAAATGAAACGGAAGTGAAGAGGGATTTATTCTAAAACAATAAAAAATGAGATAAAACAATAAACGTAATTAATTGAAGTAATTTTACTACTTTTGGTGACACATGAAAAAATTGTGTTGAAGACGGTAGAAAGGACCCTTTTAGGACATTTCCTTCAATTACCAAAGCAATGTGCACAACGGCGCCCTGTGATCTTGCTTTTTTCTTTTACAAATGGACATAGCTATATACTTTCAGCGACCATAAATTTGTTCGAAATTTCCAGAATCAGTATGGAAAATAGAAATTTCTGCAACGGATGAAGTATTCTGCACTAAAATGCAGCATAATTTCGAAGTCAGCTGTTGACGAGTAATTATTTGTTATCATGCACGTCATACTGATAATGAATATACGGCAATAATTGGATTGGGTAATTGTCTGGGTGATTTTGATTATATCATTGCTCCATTGGAATTAATCCCAAGTTGGAAAATTCTTAACTAGGAATTACTTGCTAACAAAAAAAAATGCATTATATCTACCTGACTGTATCAATTGTAAATGTTGAGTAATGCAAACTATGAGGGTTGTATCATACATATAAGATGGAATATATTCATATCTACATCGCCGCTAGGTAACTTTTCCCTGTAGGTGAGGGGATATCAACAGTTTGTTGGTTAGCGTTGTAAGTACCCGCCGCAAGGAAGCGAAGATGAAACCACGACCACTTTTGCCAAGTACGAATAAGGAAAGAAATTCCTTGCATCAGGTTGAGAAGTTGCACCTGTAAACCAGGTAACTGTACGCAGTGAGACCGATAGGTAACAATGTGGTATAGTGCTTGCCGACACCCTGCCATCTGACAGCAGCTGACGTCATCGCTCTGTGATCGCCAGCAGGATAGGTGATACAAGTCTCAATTGCACTTGTGAAACGGTGGGTACTAAAGGTCAAAGGGATCGGTGTTATCACAACTCACCACATGCGTAAGGGATAGTGATTCCGTTGGGAACAGGCACTTTGATGGATTGTTTTGGTATCGTGTGACAAGTACTACCTATTTATTTGTTGGCACAATAATTACACGACCATTTCTGAGTTGTATACGTAAATAAATTATAATGCAGAGCGTCAGACAACAAACTTGATACCTATTTATTTATAACCTTGATAACTACTAAGCATGTCCTTTGATTTTGCCTGGTATTACTGTTCAGCCTTTCTGTAAACATAACAAACTGTAACAAGTAGTACAATCAATAACCGGTCTTTCTTTTACGTAATTGCTAAACATGAAAGAATTCGGAAATTTTAGATCAAAATATTTAATTGACCCTTAAAGTAAGAGGAATGTTACCATGACTACAGTATCTAAGATGATATTCCTTGTTACAATCAATTAAGACTGTTTTGTCCAATTTATCATATTTCGATCTGGATGTGTGGTTTGATCAAGTTGATGAAATAGGGACGAGTGAATCCAGGATTTAACTCTATATTCCTATAATAACGTATTCAACTATACCGTATATAATCATCTATGTCATCTTAGCCTCCACATCCTTTCGAAAATACAGGCTATATACTTTCCAAGAAATAATTGGAATTACAATGATAACAGGAAGGAAAGACCAGTATGCCTTAAATGTTCATATGCAGGAAACACATACTTTGTAAAATATTGAAAAAAGACGTCGATTTCTTCTGAAATACTAATAAGAATTACATCACTTTTAAAACCAAAGGGTTGTATACATCACGTGACTGAAACGTCAGCTAATAGGCATCACAAATTAAATGACATCTAATTTCTTCATATACTGAACATTAAACAAAACCTACACATCAGTTAAGATTAGGTAATTGTAAGAATTCACATCCCACCACATGACATACGACCGCTTCACATGGATGTTGCCGCGGAAGACCGCCATAAAAAGAGTATTTTATTTCAACAGCGACACGTAGACACTTCCTCGCGGTACAATCTTAGTAGAACACATCATCCCGCCTTATTGCCGTTTTTGTACTTGACTGGAGATTTGGTTGCGATCATGAATAATTCACATTGTACGATTGAAAACTGTCTGGAACTTCATGGCTTTAAATATTCTGTACAGAACAGTAATACCTATTAGGCAAAGTACTAACAAGGGGCGAGGTTATCAAAGATGTATACAAGATAATGTTATAAAAATACATTTCTAGTATTTCATAGAGGAAATTGCAATGTCGTGATGAATAATATAGAACATTTAAGTCACAATATACAGGCGAGGATTTCTAACCTATGCATGTTAATGTAAGTATAAACAATCCTACAAAGCGCCGATGTAAATCTGGATGTAGAACAAACAGGTGCGTGTGTGTGTATTTAGTGAGGAGGTGGATTGGAGAGCAAAATAAGTAGTTCCTGACACTGGTTTACATAAATGGTGATCAGTTCGCTATTAAAGCAAGCAATTTTTGCACAGAGAAGTTGATCCAATATGTTTTACGGAAAACCAAAAAGAAATGGTAAAAATATGACATACCGTCAGATCCCATTTAGGATATATTTCTTGATCGATGGACGCAACCCTCTTGATGTACTCTCTGACGTGACCCGTCGCCATCGCCGGAACCGGAAATAGCTAAGACGAAGAAGTTAGTGAGCTCAATTCCGGACTAGCTGTCGTCGGACTCGGATAAGTGCCATACCAGGAAAATGTGAAGTATTGTATGTTTGTAATGTCAATTCCAACAGAAGACGATCGTGCAGGCTAGGTCAATCAAGCCCATTACGAGAGATTAAATGGACCCGTTAATCCTGTATTGACCAGAAGCTGCAAGATCCATACAGAACAGATCGCTTCTCTTCGATCAATTGGTCTGCGGATGAAATGTCGAATCTACAAAGTAAAGAAAGCACCTTGTAACAGGAAATAGTTTGGAAATGTCATAAATACACACAAGATATCGCCAAAGAATTAAGACAAGGAGAACGTAATCTAAAAATCCATGTTTATTACCAGCGGGCGAGTGCGACCAGGAGAAGGAACCGCGGAGAACTTGTAATGACTAGGAACAGAAAAGATGAATTGTGAAAAGTTTGTTTAAACAATGCGAGGCTTGAAGAGCAGGAATGCTTTGTCAATATATATACAACTAAGTTACAACACCATCGATCGCGTCTCTATACGTGCCACAGTCACCAAATACACACTTCTGCTAGACGTGGACATTTTTCTTCATTTTAAAATCTCTACTCTAGCTTGAATCCAACTGTTCTCGATACGTAAGCCCAGAGATCTAAATCACCAGGGCACTAGGCACTGGAACTACAATAGTAAATATCTTCTTAATTTACTCGGAGTAGGTTGTGATGGTGAAACTGCAGAATCTTGACATCTGTAAGAAATAAATAAGGTCGACCTATGTGTGAGGGTTACACCATTAACCTAACCTGTCGGTGTAAGTCTGCAGGAACCATTGCTTTCCTTAAAGGGGCCTGGTTAAAGGTTTTTTTCTCAACCTAATCGATTTTCATTTTTTCGTCTGAAACACTGTCAGACATGTTATGACAGCATGTGTTCTACAAATGAAGGATGTGGTACAGTGTAGTCTCTTTACCAGCTAATTAGGTACCTCTATAAAGTTCCCTTTATATGCTACAAAGTATATATTGCGAATTTGTTTACTGAATTTTTTACTGAATACAAGGGCCTAGACATGATACCAGTATCAATTATTTTAGTAAGGTATCGGGTGAGGTAACCGGTATATTGTTCAAACATTAGTATACTCATTCATCTATAGGTAAGCACGTGGTGTACCCATAGCTTATTCAATAAGCACTTGAAATATATAACCTTCTTATCTGGTTTGCATTTTACATTTAAGGCAAAGTCGTCTAAATGTATGTATTACCCCTCCCCTCCCCCCACTCCCACCCCCAAATTGCGTGGCATAGTGTGACGTAACGTATGCTTAGTTTAAACTTGTGTCATATGCTACCTATAAAATTTGATAACTTATCAAGTGTGGCTCATCCTTACATAAGTCGAAAGTGTTGCTGACTCTCCTTGTGTTGTTTCGTATGTTTGTTAGACTCACCGTTATCGCTGACTTCGGTACAATGTACTGAAGACGTACTGATATCGTGCCATTTCGTATGCCAACATCTGCTGACCATTCGTCCGTTTTCATTTAAGCTACAGCTTGCTGATGATTTATCTTTTCAGATCATATTCATAAATAAGCGTTCTTGGTTTTGTTTCCTCTATCGTTACAAACCCTCAAGAGCAGATTATCCGTATTTAGCAATGTTTTACAATAAATACTGCTATTCAGCATTGAACAATGGAACAATGTTCTGCCATATTGATCATCTGTCAACATTGAAGCTATTATAAATATATCGTATTGTTCAATGTTGTCATTGATAGATAAAGATATTGATCTTTTTGTGATTTAAATCTTGTCTATATCGTATGCTTTTTATTCAAATATATTTTATTGGTTATTCAGCCATTATGATTGAACAACAAAGTGATATAGACATTGCTGTATGCCCGCAAGAGTAACAGAAAAATGATATCCAGCATAGCAACAAATAAATAAATAAATAAATAAATGAACGTTTTTGTATCTTTACAACACATAGACACATACATGATACATTTTATTAAACATGTGAGAAAATAACAAATTGGGTAATCTTTTTACGTTTTACTGAAAAGTACTACACGGAAAGTAGTATCAATCCGCTAGTGGCCATGATTAGTTTTCAATTACATCTAGCATTTTTGTTACATTTACCAAGACCTTAAACACGTATTTCTATGGTATGTAACAAAAATCTAATTCGTGTCACTTTATTTTCGTTCGAAAATTACTGAATATCCTAGACAAATTGTATAATCATTTGATACTGTTTTTGGTAACCCACAACTCACAAAAAACTTCGTGCACGCAACTGTGCGATAGGATCGCACAATTTGTGTGGTTCGGTAAAAATGGTTTGCGAATATTACGAATTGAAAATTAAACGTAAAAAAATCGTGAAGTTATTAATAAATAGCGACTACATGAACATTAAAATTGATTTGTAATTCTAATAGTAATTTTTAATTCAACATTTTTTGTAATAACTCTGGACCTGCATTAAATAGTCTTATTGTATATAGTTTCATACCTCAGAAAGTGAGTGGCGAGAAGTGGTGTCTCGAGCAAACTATAACTACGTATGCGCTTACAATGTCAACGTTTTGACAAGATTGTTTCAAGATTATCCTACGATTCACTACGGTTAATAAGTTCTATAGATACCGACCATCACTCGAGATCCTTCTACTTCACCTCTTTTTCTCAAACATCTGCCAAATACTGATAGAACATATATGAAATATGGCACCCAAAACAAAATAGTAAAAAGACCACTCGTACTAAAAAAGTTCCGCAACTGGAACATGAAACGCTTTCCGATGACGATACCAGGTTTCGGTCTTGGTTATTCTTGGAGCCAGTCTAAACAGAAGTTCTCTAAATATCGCTGGTTCCAGTCTAAGGAAGTTCATGAAAGCAGATATATCTTCTGCTCCCAATTCTTGCATCAGGCGCTCATATTGCCCCAGATCTGGTCTTCGAAACAGCCAAGGTCTCACCCAATGTCTTCTAGCCCTCCTTTTTCTTTGCCTTTTATCTTCTATAAATCTGGCTATAGCAAGATCATTTCCAACGACTTTCCTTTGTAAATGAGCCATTTGTTGAAGAATCTCAAGTCTTTGGAGAGGTGTCAGTAACATTCTGGATTTCTTGGTTTTTCTTCAGAGGTGTGTTCTGTTGAGTACTTCACAATTGAGTGACTGCTTGGCGAATTCGTTGTTCCTATTATACAGAATTTTCCTCAAATCGTGAGGGATATTGACTCATCTTAGTTGTTCGTAACTCAGTCGTAATTATTCTCAGGGTAATTGTAGGAGAAACGTGATTAATCGGCTGTGATCGTAAATATCCGTAGAGTGTTCGGCCGTCATCGTGAAGCATTTGGCGGTATTCGTTGGGTGATCATATCCTGACCGTAGCGGATCCGTGGAGAACCGTAGCAACTTTGCCGGATCGTGATGATTCATCTGCTCAATCGCCATGAATCGCACAAACATCGTGAATATTCGTAACATCTTCGTAGGAAATCCGTAGAACAAAATAATCGTGGAGATTTGTATCAAGAACCACCGCGATTACCATGTCCACGATTGTCAACGATTAATCGGCATCATTCGTAGCCTTAATCTTGACAGTGTGTCCTGGGCTTAACAGGAATACAGAAGTAATGAAAATTTACTATGACATAAAGAGACGTCCGTTGAATGTTTACATAAATAATGTATATATAATGTGTATCCGTACACTAATGATGGTCACGTGTGGCTCTTTGTAAACAAAACACTTAGATATATCGCACATCGTACGCACATCGTGCAGACATCGTACGCACATCGTATGTGAAGTATCAATGTAGTCGCAGAACCTTTTGAGATGTATGTTCCGTGTAATAGGATGGTGCACATGAGGAAGCTAGGTAAACTTTATTTTTGGCTTAATATTACATTGATAAACTAAGAAACTACAATGAGAAACTAGTGCTAATGTATTTTCAGTGAAATATTGCTGCATGCACAATGTTTATTACATTGTAACGTCGTTTTCTTGTTTGTCGCGTTGACGTTGGCAAATAGAAGGGCGACAACTCTGCCAGGTGACGACGTAGGCCGGCTCACAATAGAGGCAAACGTTCCTAGGAAATACGATGTCCCATTTGTGATCTGGAAATGTTTTATTTGCCGGGGAAATGCTACACTTTGTTTTCCAAATAGGTGATGCTTTTCATCCAATTAATGACAGAGTTACAAAGATTAGATGTGATAATACTATATACACGAAGTACACTATGTCACGAACAGGTTCTAATTCAGCAAACACACATATACACGTATGTAAAGTATGATCTTATTATTGTTTACACGAGGCTATAAAGTGTAAAAACATTATAATTGTTTAAGATATGATATAAGCAATGTCACCTTGTGTTATTTAATTCTTGATTCACGAAGTTTGAAAAATCACATTGAGATAATGAGGGTAAGGTATTTCTATGGTATTTTGTGTGAAGTGTCAGTGATGCATATACATCAATAGGGAATTAGTATTTAATGAGTCTACCTACAATCTGTACTTATTTGTAGTCCCTTTGGGTCGATATGAAAGTGTTACAGCCCGTTATATGTTACTTTTATCATGACAAAGAATCTAATGAGCATAAGTTGACCAAACCGTCACTGAATTAGTCACGTCTGTTTTCAATATATTTTATTCTGTATAACAAATGATAATTATGATATTGCTGTATATGAGGCAGTGGGCAGCTTGAAGGTTATAGTATTCTAATTGGAAGGACGCCATCTGTATGCATGGTGTTAGTTTCCCTGGGGATGGCTAATGTTACTATAGACCAGACCTTGACCTTAATCAAAGTCATAACAACTGGTACAATACTAACAATACTGTCAGTAATTTAAGAAGCATGCTGCACAAGTACACTGGCTAAAGTGAAGTGATCGATCCGATATGGCAC